CCCCAAAACCCCAAAACCCCAAAACCCCAAAACCCCAGGAGTGTAGAAGCTTGTTGAAATTGGGTTTATTGCTCTAATTATTTACCATCAGCACCACCTCTCTTCGAATCCTTCGATTCATCAGTATAGTCTTCCTTCTTGATTGATTCAAGAAGTCTCTCAACTTGATCAGCATGAGAGACTTGAACATGGTCTAATCCATTAGTCCTATAGACATGGACCACTCCTTGAACATTTCCTGTAACAAGGACTGGTGATTGTCTGCTCCATCTCACACATGTCTTTGGTACGTTACTCTTTGTCTTCTTGTTGATCTTATCGAAATAGGTCAGTTTAGGCTCGAGATTATTTATCGCAAGATCCCAAATTTCGACTCTTCCGTCATCAGCAACCAGTGCGAATACAGAGGAAGTATCTGGAGACCATTCTATGTCATTGACTTGTTCTTGAAGATACTGATGCCTACAAATAAGTTTCTCTTGTTTTCCAATTGGCTCTTTATGGTTCCAGATTCTGACTGTCCAATCATAAGAACAAGTTGCAAAGATCTGGCAATCATTTGCCCAGAATGGAGAGCATCTTACTTTGTAAACTGGACCTGTGTGTCCTGTATATGTGTCAAGGCTTCTTTCAGAATAACTAACAGAGCATCTGTTAATAGTTCCATCTTCTGTTGCTGCAAAGTAATTGGCACTCTGTCCTGCAGGGAAATCAAGGGAAAGACCTCCTGTGTTGATAAAGGTCATTCCTGGCTTTCTTTCGTCATCGATACCAGCTGGAGCAACATTTGCCTCTTTCTGTACAGAAGTTGCTTGTCTCTTAAGCTGCATGAGATCATTATATTCAAGACCTTTCTTTATAGACCACTCTATGACTCTTCCATCTCCTGAAACGGAGACAAGAACTTCTCCTTTAGATGGTTTCTGGACCCATTTGATTTCCCAAATAATATCGGTGTGCTTCTCGTCTATCTCTCTTGATTCAGCTATCGGAACGGTCAGTTTATCAAAGCTACTTTCTTTCTTTTTCTAAATAGAATTTAAGATTTTATTTTAAAGTTTTGAGGCACTTACAGAAGAAGCCTTTTTACCAGATGATGCTTGTGCAACTGGAAGTATATCTTCTTCCTCATTTTGGCAATCATAGATTAAGATACCTCCAGCTGAATCTCCAACAGCAATTAGATTAGGGCTGGCAGTAGAGAATGCCAATGCGGTTACAGAGTTTTCAGTCTTAATCATTTTCTCTGGGAAATTCGGATTTTTCAATGTCCAAAAAGCAACGAGCCCTTTATTTTTCTTCTCAATTTTGTTCATGTCATATTCTCCATATGCTACAGCGAGTAAATCTGGATTAGCTTTATTGAAATCCATGCATGTGATATTCATATCCTTAGTGAAATCACACTCAAATGTAAACAATGGTTTGAGCCTGATAGGATCTTTTTCATCTTTGTAATCTGAATCTGAGTTTGAATCAGATTTGTTAGAATTCGAATCAACATTCTGAACAGCTCCTAGACCGAAAGAAGTGATTCCTCCTGAATTTTCATCTTGGTCATTCTTCTTCTCATCCATTTTAGGGAGTTCAACTTGTGGATAATCTGTATAGAGGACATGCTCTTTGTGGTACTTAGTCTGGGTCAACAATCTTTCAACGATCTTTATTGCTTTTAGCATTGAGCTTGATTGCAACATTGCATCATCCTCAATGAATTCCATCTTTGAAGGCATCAAACTATCAGGGAAGCCAGAAGTCTTACTCTGGATTGCAGTGTAATTTTGAGTAGCAGAGCTTGATGAAAGCTTATCTGATAACCCAGATTTAGTGTCAGATTCACGGACAATACTTTTAGTAGTTCCTTCCCCTTCCTTCCCGCTGACTCTGTTTTTTGAGGATTTTCCTTGACTTGTAGTTCCTGCTTTAGATTTAGTCTTTTGCTTGCCTTTCACTGATCTTCCTCCAGTAGGTTGAGACGTAGTATTATTCATCTGAGAGTAAATACTAATATGTGAGACAAGTTCTTCGGAATCAATAAGTCCTTTAGCTTCGTCAAGTCTATCATTCATGATATCATCGATGCTCTTTTCATAAATTCTTGCAAATTCTGCACCTTTATCCTCGACTTCTTTTCTGATTTCTTCTTCTATCTCGTAGTTGTTGACTTGCTCATTCTCGATTCTCATCTTAACCATTTCTTCACAAGTCTCGTCCTTAACTTTTTGGTTGAGATTAAGCGTCTGCGATCCTGTGTTATTATAGGAATCTGCTCCAACTTTAAACTTGAGTAATTCCTTATAGTCCTTAGTTGCTTTCAAGCTTTCTTCATCTTGATCACTGCAGACAATGCCTGGAATGAACAGGAGAGTCATTGTCTCTGTTTCAGTGAGTTCGATATCAACAAGAGCATTCTTTTCAGCTTCAGACAGTCCTTTCTTCTTCATTTTCTCCTTCTTCATATTTTCTTGCTTCCTATTTTCCTCGTCTTCAGATCCTTCAAGCATTGAGCTGAGCATCGACTGGGAGGTTTGCATTCCTGTTCCTGATTCAATGCCAGATCTGATCCTGCTCTCAGTGGGCTGCTTAGATTCTTCCTTCCCGAATGGGACTGACTCAGATTCGTCTTTGTAGGTATGGGTGTGATCTGCCATGGTCTCTGGCTGGTCTGGTTCAGCTTTAATAGTATTTCCAGTTCCTCTTCTTTTAATTAAGGAGTCTGGATGCACATTTATCTCTTTCCCGTTTTCAAGTTTCACAAATCCTAATTGCTCTCTTCCAGCAGTTCTTGAACCATTGGTTGGATAACTGGTAACTCCTCCTTTTCTGGTAACTCCACCTCTGTATTGATTTGTCATTCCAGCTCTAACTTTGGATCTAGTATTACCCTGAGGAAGCCTCCTGGTTTCATTGATCATCCTCTTCGACATCCTAATTTAAATTTAAATAAAATTTATAAAAATATACGGGGTTTTGGGGTTTTGGGGTTTTGGGGTTTTGGGGTTTTGGGGTTTTGGGGTTTTGGGG